AAATAATTTTTTTGCAATTCTCTGATAGCTAACAGATTGGTAATAAATCCTTGACAAGGTCAAAAAAATATTAAGTTTTTGAGTTTCACTCAATCTTTCTAAATATTAGAAATCAATGAGAGCTGAGCAGGCATATATTGATTTATTAGACAGTAATTTAAAATTGCAAATAAAGTTAACTAAAGAGGAAACTATTACTATTAAAAATAAGGAAAAGATTCACAAGCTCACAAATGATCTAGAGTAATGTGAGCTATATATTAAATATCTTAAAAAAAATCTTATATTTCGTGAGAATGAGTTAAATAGATTAAAAGCAGAATGCTGCTCTACCTTACATAATCTCAAAAAATGTTAGGATCATTTAGAGCTAAAGGATGAGATATTAATCGCTTAAGATAATTGAATTATTCTACTAGAAGATACATTAGAAAAGCTTAAAAGCCAAATTTTCAAGATATCACTTTTTCAAAATAACAATAATAAATCTTCTGAAGAAGAACATCAAGAAAATATGACACTATCAGATATCTTAAGAAATATTAGTACAGCTTTAGACTAGGTTGAAAATTATATCAATAGCGATACATTATTTGATCCAAGAAATATATTGAATAATATACGAATCTCAATAACAACTGTTTGAGAGTATATGCAAAGACATGTTTAAGATAATGCTAACTTATAAGGTTAATACATCCAATAGGCAGATCAATAGGATTATGAATGATATGACAAATTTTAGAAATGATTGTCTTCAAAGGGTACAGATGATGGAGCAAGTATAGAGAGATAAAAGACAAGCCCAAAAACAAGAAGATGATGAAATCATTAATCTTAAAGATATGATATATAAAAATGTTTATGAAAAATGTTGATGGAAAAGAAGATACATTATATATATTCAACAGGCTCAGAATTTAAAAAGATATTATTGTCAAAGTAGAAATGATATAGGATTGCTAAAATATAATCAAGACTGATTATATAATCAATATCTAAAATGGAAGGTAAAGGATTTAAATTCAAGACAAATTATTTTGAATTTATAAAATAATCCATTAGCAAACATGGTAACTATGGCAGATATCAACCAACTTTTAGCTCCATATCTTGCTCAGCTTTCATTTTATATGGGAAAGAAGAACCAGACAGTTACTATGTAAAACTTAGAACTATAAATGAATTTGCACATTTCTTAGAAGTAGCAGGATTTAATGATTAAGCTAGAACTAATAAAATGATAGGAAAAAGACCTTTTTAGGATCAAAAATATGATATAGATCTAATTATTAAAATTTGTAATAGTATTTGTCTTCCTATAATTACAAATGCACCTGATAGATATATTGAATTAATGCAAGAATGTTGGCATTTTGATCCAAATAAAAGACTAATTACTAAAGCAATTTGTGACTTAATTGATAAGATCATTTTGAATAAAAAAATAAATTTCACAAATATTATATTCTCTCCAAATATTGGATCTGTAAAAATAAATAGTTCAATCACAAGCAAAATAATAACTAGAGGTTGGAACCGGCCGAAAATTCTTTAACCGGTTAATAACCGGTTAAAATATTTGTTAACCGGTTAATTAACCGGTTAAAATTAACTTTGGCCAGTATTATAAATTTGGCCAGAGTTAGACAATATTTTGTCAATCATAAAAATCTTAATTCTGGCCGGAAATTGAATTCGGCCGGATTTAAATTCATCTATTTTAACCGGTTAAAAAAAATCTTTAACCGGTCAACATGTTAAAGGTTTTAACCGGTTAATTAACCGGTTAAAAATTAACCGGTTCCAACCTCTAATAATAACAATATCAGCAGAATCTACAATGAGCATGACTTTTGGTAAATAGTCTTTATTGATATTCTTATACAATTTCTTGATAGTATTACTAAGCTTAATGTATTTATAAAGGCAAAAGAAAACTTGATGATAATTTTGAAGTTAATGACAATGGTATAGTATAAATAAGTTTATTTTAAGCAATCAAATATATTTACTTAATATATATATGTTATTTTCAGATTTACAAATTAAAAAAGTCAAATTCATTGAAAATAAATCGAATAAAAGTATGTAAGAATAATAATAAAAAGAATGATTCAAGAAATTTATCCATAAATTAACTAATTTTAAAAATTCATAGACATTACTTCTAAATCTTTAGATTTTGATATCTAATTAATTTTGAAGTCATATTTGATTTGATTACATACATAAAAATGAATAAGCCTATATAATATTTTAAATTCCTCACATAATCATAATATTAGCGAATTCATTTTACCATTAACATAATTCCGAATAATATTTCAATTATCTAAAGCGTAACTCTATAATGGAGTGACTATTTGAAATTTATATAGAAAAAGAATGGTTTAAATGTAACATCAGCTTTATTTTAGCTTATTTTATGACAATAAAAATTAAAGTTTCTACAAAAATAATGAATTCAAAATATAAATTGACCTATTCTTTAAATATAACTGTCTGATTCTAGCTTTTTTTTAATATTTAATTTTCTGACCATCCACTTATTATTTATTAAAAACAATTTAATTGAGAATACGTCATAAATAAGTCAAAGAGATTATTAAAGAATACATGAGTTGCATTTACAGAAATTCGAAACAAGTAATTAATATATTATAGATTCATCAAGGATTTGAAATTCGCGAGCTGCGGCATAATCATTAATAAAATGAGACACAAACTATGATGCGATAATAAGGAAATAAAATTTATAACCAAAATAAAATAAATGTCTTGTAATATCATATTAGGTTGTAACATTTAATTTGAGTTTTTACGAACATAAAATCAAGTTTGAAATAACAAAATATAAGTTTTTATAATATATTACATGACAATTTTTTATTAAATGTTAATTATAAATCTGATTAAATTAATAATATTCTTTATGAGTTTATTTAATATACTATAATTGAATTTTTATAATTATGCTTTATGTAAATTTAAAGATTTCGACAAATTAAGTTGAGTAATTTTTCATAATATATTTTATCATACATCAAACAATTTCGTAGTCTAAATGATTTATGCCCATAACAGAGTTTACTTTATTCATATTACGCAATATTAGGATAATTAGCTCATATTTCTCCAAATTGTAAAAAAAAAAAAATATAAATTAAAGATAATAAGTTTAATTTTGGAATGAATATAATAATTCGAATTTCAATTTGATCGAAAATTTGCAAAATAATAATTAGTTCCTGTATAATAGGGAGTTACCCCTGAGATATATCAGAAAATTAAATTCAAAAGGAGCCTGTCATAGTTTATAAAATATAACAAATAAATATTTTACATTTATTTCAAATAATTTGATATTTTCATCGTGTTTATAAAATTCTAGATAAAATTCCAAATGTTTAAAAAATATATTCTTACATTATGTATGCTTTCTTCCAAACATACAATATCTAATTGTGTACACAGAATCCATCTTCAACCCTTTAAGTACAAAAAAGGCTTACGTCAAAAAAATTTTTTTTCTAATAAATTTTTTGAAAAGAATATAATACCTAAATGAACGTAATATGTTTATGTGTATTAATTTATATAAATTATAACAAATATTTGAATAATATGGAAAGAGGGACTAATCTTACAGAATAATTCAATTATTATACTTACATCAAAAATTCATATATAATGACGAAACTTGTTAGGTGTAGAGTTGTCTGGTTGCCGATGTTAACTTGGAATTGAATTGACACTAGGATAACGAATCTAACACAAAATTTACTCAGGTTCAAAGATTTGATACAATTTCACAATTAATATAACAATCAATCTGAAAGATATATAATAAAGTTTACAATTCTTATCTAAGGCCTGTTATTGCAAATCTGTGTCAGAACTCAGACCTACGGAACTATTTTATAAAAAAAAGTTCTAATTTACTATATATGTTGATATAAAGAGAAATAAAGATATTATAGAATATTTGATATTTCCATTGACTTTTTTGAAATCTTTGATGCAACGCACAATGCAGTTTTAGTCCCGGATAGAATTTTTTTTTTTGTAATTTGTACAAAATGTATAAACAGTAAACTTTTTTGTTATACAAAATTAGCTTTCAAATATTTCAGTAGAACAAAGCTTTGAATTGTTATGATTTAAATGTCTTTAAAGTAAAACATCAAAAAAAAAAATTGATAAATCGAAATCCAAATGAAATTATAACGAAATAAATGAAGCTTTAAAATGTAATTACAAAAATCGTTAAATAAATTTTTAGTTTTCCAAGCTTATACAACGTTAAGAAGCATTGATTCGTAGGACGTAAATTTTCGATATGTAGTAGTTAGTGATTACTTCTGTTGGGTTCATTTTTTAAAAAATCTGCGGAAAATACATTTATCTGAGTAGTGAACTAGTAAAAACTGCCAAATTATACACATCAAATCCCGTGAAATAATATTTCTTTGAACTTTCCACATATGCGAAATAAGCCTTTAGAGATATCCAGTTTTATGATGCGATCATACTTAAATGATAAAGAATTCGATGCTTGGACCACAGGAAGTAGGTTTTACTCATTGATCCTTTTTATCCGCTTTGCTTAAATCAAATAAAATCTATCAATTGTTAACAAAAATTTATACTTAATATTGCTCGAGAATAAAAAATCTAAGGTATATTGGAGATGCTTGATTATATAACAATTTTCCATCACCTTAATAATTGACTTTCCATTTCATAGATGTATAAACATTTCAGAGGTTTTCTATTCTTAATATTCACCGAGAAATTCTTAAGCATCTTGTAAGACGCAGTATTACATCACATTAATTTTGAAATCACGCGTCTCATTGATTTGGCACAGTAGCTTTTCCACATTTTATGCTCGAAGTCATCATAAGAAAGAAAACCTTAGTTTTCTATTCCTGGGTAATGAGTGGATAATTTGGATTTAATAGAACATTTATGAGACGATATTGTTGCGTAATGCAATGGTAAGCAAAAGGTAAATTTCATTTAATAATTTCAAATGTTTCTATTTCCTCAGGAAAAAACCCATCGTTTATATATTATATTTTGAAAAAGACAAATTGGCCAAAGGGCAATTTGTGTAGAGGAGAATTTGGCATGTGGACAATTTTGCAAAGACATTTTGTCCACGGAACATATTGGTCCGGAAGAAATCATGGATAATTGATTTACAAAGTATAACTAAAATATTGTTAACTAAAATTATCGTTTTGTATTTATAAACAATTTTGTAAGCAGAAGGTTTTTATTGAATAATTATGAAGTAAAAATGAAGAAATTGTGACAAATATTTGTTTGATAATATCAAATTAATCAGTGTTTCCTCAACTTCGGCGCTCTACACTTTCGCAATATATTAAACTGAGTAAATGCCAATTAAAACTGCGCTATTAAGAACAATTACGAAAAATTGAATAAAATAATAAGCAAATCGGAAATTAAAAAAAATAAACGAAGTTACAAATACGAAAATTTTAATGTTAAAATGGTGAAAGCGAAAAAATCGCGAAGGGAGTATGTATGCAAATACAAGAAGGGCGAGCGTGGAATGTTGAGCTGTTTAAGGATTTCCAGCTCATATTTATAAAAAATAATAATTAGGTCAGCCTGGGCATCTTGACATTTTGTCATACTGGCTGACATCTTCAGGCAAATGATCTTCAAAAGACTAACTAAAATATCGAAAGTGATTTACATGCAAAATTATAGAGTTTTCGGGCGAAATTACATTCAGCGTAACAATATCTTAACAATATGGAATAAATATTTTTTCTCATTACTAATTTTCATTTTGGCGTTCGTTTTTGCAAAACGAATTATTTTGGCCAAATAATAGACGATGTACTTGTTTCACTAGCGTTTTCATATACAGTCAACCCTCTATATAGTCACACCCTTCGGCTATATATGGGTGACTATAGAGGGGGTTGACTTGTATGCTTATCTTATATAATTTATAGTGTGCCTAAGGATCGATATTTGAATCAATCTTTGGAATCAATCTTTGGGATAGGAATGACTCATAAATAAAATAAATCTTATTCAAAGACGAAACAATTTGAATTCTTATGATTAATATCGCGATCCACAAATGTACAATATACTAATAATAGATATAATATTTCAAAGTTGCATAATGAAAATTATTAAATTATACTTATTAAAATTTGTAAAATACAATGATATGAATGGCGGCGTATTTAATCCAGAGCATGAAGGTCATAGTAAAATTTCCTTATAATTTAAGCGTTCTTTACGCGAACACTTTTGTTTGGTTTCGACCCTTTCCCTTTCCTCTCTGCTGTCCAAGCTTTCCTTCGTACAGTTTTTCGCAAGCACATTCTGCTTTCCCCCATATCTGCTATTGATCGGTATAGCCAATATCTATTTATCATTAATAAATCTTTATTAATCCTAAATAAGTTATTGCTTAAATTATCATTATCGTAAATGTCATCCAAAATGCTTCGTAAATGCCTTCTTCCAGAATTTATTGTAAATGTCAGACAAATTTTTTACTTACTATAATTTTGACCAATACAAAATTATTCTGGCTGCGGATTAAAAATCTTTCATCATTTACTTTAGTTGAGGGATGGACTGACAACGTATTTGGATCTGAGAATATATCGTATTATCAATATTACGTTTTCGCTCGCTCCATCTTCATAGTTGATGATGGCTATTAATTTTTAGAAAAATCAGATTGGTCAAATTAAATACTTTATGTTATATATAGTGTGATTTAATGATTTCACAATCTCATGATTATGAATGAAGTTATTCAGTTCTATCATTTTCTACAGCTTTCATCATATCGAATATATAATATATCTGATATCAAAATTAAAAATCTTTGACATAAATAAATCAGTTTCCGATATATATTGTTTTGTCGTTTATCGTTATTTGTTCCTTTGTCTTTCATTCTTTCTATAAAAGTTGCATCGTCTCTCTACAATGTTCAACTGAAAAAGTCGCTTTGTAATCATGTTGCTGATTCTTGACCAAAGAAATTAATTGATCTATATATGGTTCATTAGTGTGCTTAAAATGGTCAATTTCACCCATCATTGCAAGATTTTCGGTAAATTGTGCCACAACTTTGATGATTATGATTGACATGACGTAAAAATTCCGATTGGCGGATAGTTTTTCCGGAATTTTTGATTGCGCCAATGTTCATTCACCTTCCCAAAGTTTCCTCTTTACACCATGAACGTTCCCGGTTACTTAAAAATTTCTGACTTGTTACGTCAAAATGAAGTAAAGGAAAAGGGTAAAGGAAAATCCAATACGGCTGATCTTGCAACACTTTTGTTAAAACACGCAAATAAAGTTCAAGAAGAATGGAAGACAAATTTGTCGAATTTCAAAGAAATTCTTCAAAAAAGTCGAAGGTTATTGAAATTTCTTTGGATAGTTGTGGGGTTATTTTTTATCCAACTTCTTTTTAATAATTGAACCTTTCAATTAACACGTAGTATTCAAAACGAATTTCGAGGTATGTTTTTACATATTTTTATAAAGTAAACTCCCTCTTTTTTTTTTTCCTATATGAAACGTTCTCTCGATATCCATTAGATGATGAATTATTGGAAGATGAATATGGATCTGATCTTATATATAACAACCTTCCATCTACATATTACTATGATGACTATTCCGATAGTGATTCTGGTACACATGATGAAGACCTCGATTTTGACCTGGATAAAAATGTGTCATATGACAAGGAATGGTTACTAGGGTAGGTATATGTTTTGATTTACTTATTTATGTTTTTCCTTTGTATAATTAATTTTCTTTTGCTTAATTTAATTACGATCATAATCGGATCTCCAGACAATGTCGATTACATATTGCCTCATTCTGTGATGCAGATGGAGCGATAACTCCCGAAAGGTTATGTACTAGCATTTTTACATTACTAAGGTCAGATATGGGAGGTTAGTATTGTAAGATTATAATTTTGCTTTGTTTCTTTTAATCAATTTACTATTTATAATATTTTCCAGATGACGATATTCAAACGGAATTGGTCGATCTCATTGGCTTTGATAACCTAAATTTTGTTACTACACTGGTAACTAAACGGTTGACAATCCTTGAAAATATTATTAGTAAATCACTATTAGTAGAAACCCCACCAGTAAGTCTAATTTATTAATTAAAGTTGAAATTTCGATCTTTTATTGCACAAGTTTTATTTAATTCTGGTCCCATTTTATATATGATTCACAGAAGAATTCCTCTATTACTATAATTAAAGATAAACATCAATCAGATAATAAAAGGATATCAAAGCGTTCATGGAGGGAGCAGAAAAAAAACAGCAAAAAAAAAAGCACAGGTGTCTATTGCTCCTTTCTTATTTATATTTATATATATATATATTAGATAGATGATTGAACCTTTTTTGTTTAAAAAAAAAGTAATATCTTTATAATTCCATTTTTGCAAAGAGGAAAAAGATTTGAACTCAGCAAATATTTTAGGGTTTAGTGCTGACAAATTACGAGCCATTCGGGAACAAGCATTGCGTACCGTAAGTGTTAGATTTTCATCATTCAAGATCTTCTTTAACATATGTCTGATAAATTAGTTATTATAATTTATATATATTTAAATATTTAACATTCATATTATCTAGTTTACTCCATCCGAAAATTATAAACACGTCTTCGCCCATACGAATCACGTACTTTCCGTGTTTGGAACCACATATTCTCTGCCAGTTGGCACTATACGTAAAGATTTTGATGTAAGTAATTCATCTTATGATAAAGATTTATCAGATTATTCAAAGTTAACCTATAATTATTTATATAGGATCACGAAGAAATTATCATTCCAATTACTAGGCGAGCTCCACAGATAGAAAATGAAAGACTAATTCATCTGAATGAAACCGATAATCTTTGTAGAGGTTCGTTTAAGGCAAGTGTTTACATACATTCTATTTCTTTAAATAATATGAATCACCTTTTAACTTTAATTTTATTCAATAGTATAAGACATTGAATCGTGTACAATCACTTGTTTACCCTGTTGCATATAAAAAAAATGAAAATTTATTAATTTGTGCCCCTACCGGAGCGGTATGTATTAATTTCGTATATTGAAGCTGAACATATTTACCTAACAAATTTATTAAATATAGGGAAAGACAGATATAGCCATTCTTACAATACTACGTACGATAAAGTGCTATTGCTTTCCGGATCCGTTGGTCCAACAGGTGCCTCAAGAGTTTATAATATATCGAGATGATTTTAAAATCGTGTATATTGTTCCTATGAAAGCTCTAGCTGCCGAAATTGTAAAAAATCTCGGGGATCGATTAAAGTGGCTTGATGTGCAAGTTAGAGAACTTACAGGTATTTTAATTGATAATTTCCGTTAAGTACACAGTATTATTTATTTGTGAAACTAAATTTATATTAATAATTTAGGAAACATGCTTCTGACTAAGTCTGAAATTTTAAATACACAAATCATTGTTACAACCCCCGAAATATGGGATGTAATTACAAGAAAAAGCATCGGAGATGTCGAGCTTTCTCAAGTATTTTTTTTTTTTCATAAATTATTATAATTTTCAAATAAAATCTACATATCGCTTATGATAAACTAACATTATGTGCAGAAAGTGAGACTTCTTATTATTGATGAAATTCATTTATTACTTGAGGATCGAGGTGCAGTTCTGGAAAGTTTAGTCGCACGTACCCGCCGTCAGGTATATTATACAATTTTAAACAGTGCACTATCTATTTGTTCACATACGATTTTGTTGTTTAGTAAATGATTTTTACGAATTCATTCTAGATTGAATCTAGTCAAAAAATGATCCGTATTGTAGGCCTTTCCGCTACGTTACCCAATTATATTGATGTAGCTCGATTTTTAGGGTATTTATATTCTTACGATATATTCGATTTTAATTGACTTTATATGTTTTAAATATATTTTTTATTCTACTAGAGTTGATCTAAAAAATGGTGCCGAGGGATTATTTTATTTTGACGGTGGTTTTAGAACTGTACCATTAGAACAACATTTTATTGGTGTCAAGGGTAAGCCTGGCTCAATTATTTCTAATAATAACCTCAATATTATTTGCTGGAAGAAAGTAAGAATTTGAGTATTTTTATTGAAATTTTATTGAATATTTTTAACTTTTTTTTTTTTATCGTTCTATAGGTCTTGGATCTTGTCAGAGAGAAACATCAAGTGATGATTTTTGTTCATTCACATAAAGATACCGTTAAAACGGCAAAGGTACTACATGAGTTCGCATACGAATATGGATGTTCAGGTAACGACTAATTTCATCACTTATAAAAGAAAATTTTTTCACAAGCTAAAAGTCCTATTTATATTAATAAATAAATATCAGATTTATTTGATGTGTCTACTCTTGGAGGGTATAATCTTAGAAAACGAGATGTTATGAAATCAAGAAATAAAGAATTAAAAGAGTTATTTGAATATGGTCTTGGTATTCATCATGCTGGCATGTTGAGATCTGATCGATCAATGACAGAGCGTTTGTTTTCTGAAGGATTTATAAGGGTATATTTACCTTTCAAAATAGAGTTATTCAACTATTCTAACTTGTTAAATCATAGTAAAGGGTATTTTGTTTACATAGGTCTTGTGTTGTACTGCAACTTTAGCTTGGGATGTAAATTTACTGGCTTATGCGGTAATAATTAAGGAAACGCAAGTATATGATTCTCAAAAGGGTAGATTTGATGATTTATCAACTTTAGATGTTATGCAGATCTTTGATAGAGCAGGTTGTCCCAAGGTTGTCAACATAATGCTTTGTTTTTTATTTTATTTTTATTTATTTTATTCTTTTTTTAAATAAATATTTTTTTTTACTTATATAACCCTTATCACTTAGTATGAAACGCATAGCGTTGGCTATATTTTAACAATAAACGACAAACTATCACACTACGTGTCTGCAATGATACATCATCATCCTATTGAATCAAAGTAAATCCTCTTATTTTGAACTTGTATTATGATTGGTGAATCACTATTCTAATCTATTTTGGTTAATTTCTATAGATTCATAGATAAAATGGTTGACAATTTGAATGCGGAGATTTCACTCGGCACCGTGACAAATGTTGATGAAGGAGTTCGATGGCTGGGTTATACGTATCTGTTTGTACGTATGAAAAAGAACCCACTTGTATATGGAATTAATTATTCAGAACGAGAAGATGATCCGGAGTTAGGTAAACAACGACGCAAACTTATTGTGAATGCTGCAAAGACACTTCATAAAATTGGAATGATCAAGTTCTACGAAGATACTGATTATTTCGAA